CACACATCTGAATATTTGGGTTGAACTGTTCTGGAACAGTGTTGTAAATACAACTTAACCACTGATTTCTAGTTGTATCCTCTTTTGGAAGGCCAAAGAAAGTAGTTTCGCTTTCACAACGAAACACACCGCAGGCTTGAGTGAGGAACAGCCGGCGGGCTTGCCAGCAGATTCGACGAAGGAGCGGCCGGTGGGCGTGCGGCAACCACGTGACGACCCCGGGCTGGCCTCCGCTTCGTCCACTGTGAAAGCCGATCCGGCGATCCACAGCGCAAAGTTGATGTATTTCCTCAGCGACCAGTACGGATCAGCTCTAGGCATGACGAAGCAGATATCATCCTCTTTTGAAAGGCCAAAGAAAGTAGTTTCGCTTTCACAACGATACACAGCGCCTTCACAACATGGCGGAGGCAGCAACAATACTACAGCGAGAATAAAAGCTATGCCTTCTTTCTTTGCGTGAACATTTGGGCGGTGTTGAGCAAATCTTCCCACACAGTAATGTAGACATGTGGGGACGTGTTTAAACGAGGCATTTTAGGAGGGCGTGGACAAGTCTTAACTTTTATAAAGAATATCTATTTGGGTTTGAGACTTTAGTCTTTGCAACATTAGGGATCTTATCTATGCACGAACAGCTTGTAACACTCTAAAGAGTAATTAAATTGCATCATATGACCCCTTTAAACTCACAGCACACCTAGAGATGAATTTTGCAGCATTTACCGTTAACTGAGCCACTTAAAACACTGGATCATGAGCTGCCATGTGTAAATGATCACAGTGACATGCTTTGCTCTGAAACATGCAGTGTAATAGACTATATAGTTATATACTTATGATTGCATAATAAAACCAAAAAATTAATACTGAACGTAATACAATGCCATATACTAATATAAACACACAAGCCCACAGTCTGTCCTGAAAAATATGCTTAGCAGTAACACAGCTCCTACCTGTGACACAGGTGGCTCATACAGGTCTAGCTGAAGCCTTTGAACAACCTCATTGAAGTCCTCAGCGTGAAAACAGACCACATCTTTGGTTATTCGTGGCCTGTCACTCCTATGGGAGATGATGAGAACACCAAAGGTCATTTAATCTCTCTCTTTTTGCATGTACAAGCATGTGCATATGTTTCTGCATGGCAGATGGTTGCACTCACCATTCCCCAAACTGCACTGCTTTCAGGACACCCACAGCTGCTGTACTCTGCCAGTCGAAACTCTGGCCAACATGATCAGCGTGGGCTCGCGTCCGATCCTCGAAGAGCACCTCACGTGGTTCACTGGTTCTCGGTAGGTAATGCAAGTTCTTGATCTCATTCATTGATCTACAACCAAAACAAAAGCGTTTTGTGAGGCGCTACAAACAGTTTGTAACACTTATCTTTAAGAAAAGACGTTTCTTTTGCAGTTGAATCAAAAACAAAGCACATACCTTCGTCTCTTGAATGGAGATTTGGGCATATCGGCAGTGGGGACCATCTGCTCTCCTGGTCTCACCCACATGATGGGACCATCATCACTCTGAGACCTGCAGTCAAGCTTTAGGCTAGACAGGCTGCCCCATGGCAAAGTCATCTGCATAGACAATTGAAACTTAATTCAGGAAGTTAAAACAATCCCGTAGCCTTGCCCTGACCACTGTCTGAAAGTATGAATGGCAAGAAACGACTGAATGAAGAGTTTTCTTTTCTGTGCTGACATATTCCCTATTGAATCAGGACATTGGGATAGAACATATCACAGCCATTATTCATGACTTGCAACTTGCTGTTGCTTAGGAATGCATATCAGTTACTGGCTGATATTAGAGACTTTTTATCGATATTGGACAGTTAACTGCTTATTTTCCCTATTTTTGCATTCAGATACATTCAGGATTGCCATCATCCAACATTCATTTAAATCTTACGCTACAAACAGTTTGTAACACTTATCTTTAAGAAAAGACGTTTCTTTTGCAGTTGAATCAAAAACAAAGCACATACCTTCGTCTCTTGAATGGAGATTTGGGCATATCGGCAGTGGGGACCATCTGCTCTCCTGGTCTCACCCACATGATGGGACCATCATCACTCTGAGACCTGCAGTCAAGCTTTAGGCTAGACAGGCTGCCCCATGGCAAAGTCATCTGCATAGACAATTGAAACTTAATTCAGGAAGTTAAAACAATCCCGTAGCCTTGCCCTGACCACTGTCTGAAAGTATGAATGGCAAGAAACGACTGAATGAAGAGTTTTCTTTTCTGTGCTGACATATTCCCTATTGAATCAGGACATTGGGATAGAACATATCACAGCCATTATTCATGACTTGCAACTTGCTGTTGCTTAGGAATGCATATCAGTTACTGGCTGATATTAGAGACTTTTTATCGATATTGGACAGTTAACTGCTTATTTTCCCTATTTTTGCATTCAGATACATTCAGGATTGCCATCATCCAACATTCATTTAAATCTTAAAAAAAAAAAAAAATATGTGATAAAAGTTAAATTTAATACCAAATCTAATTTTTTATACTGTTCAATATAATGTTATGATGTCTAAATTCACTTGTAGAATTGAAAATAATTAGATTTTTATTAAATAGTATACAAATAAAACGTAGTATAGAATTTTGATATTTACCACTTATTAATAGTGGTCGACCGATATGGGTTTTTTGACAGCCGATGCCGATATCTTGGAAAGCAGGGTGGCCGATATAATTTTATTTTTATTAATATTTAAGAAATTTGAAATCATTTGAAAATGCATTAAAAATAATTGTGTAAAATAAACATACTTATACTTTAGAAGACAAAGCATTTTTCACAAATAAATATTTAATAAAAATCTAATTAAAAAGGAAGTAAACACTGTAACCAACAGGGCACTCAGTATTCTCGGAAGTTTGTGTGCAGTGGGAATCATGTATATATATATATATATATATTTTTTTTTTTCAAATAAAGCCAACACTCATTTTACATACAGCACGCAATGAAAATGACAAATATATGACAGTGGGAAAATGCATAAAGTGTAATATAATATGAAATAACGAGTTTAAAGGGGTCATATGACGTGATTTCAATTTTTCCTTTCTCTTTGAGCTTGCCGCAAAACGCCAGCAAGTAATTACCATGATGAATGCTCCAGGGGAAATAGAATATTTGCAGGGTTTTTTGTGAAGCGCTCCTGCTCAAGACCGAGACCGCAGAAAGCGTATCCTGTCACGTGCAAATAAATAATAACATTTTCTGACGATGCAACAATGACCCGATTAGGCAAGTGACTATTCTGTCAACTGTCCCGAAATGCGAGTGAAAGTCTTTTTGGCCGATATACGGTATATAGATCTCAGTATTTTCATTTTTGTATTTTAAAAAAATCTGTATTTAATATATATATATTTCACTTACTGCCCAATGTTGTCCAACAAAACAATACATATTAAAGGCTAATAAAGTGAATGTAAGCCTTTATATTATGTGCAAAAAAGGGTTAAAATCACATTTCATTCTAACATTGCAATCTAAAAACAAAAATAAGGCTTTTACAGTGGAAGTTAACTAAACTAAAAATGAAAATAAATGAGAACAAAAGCACAGAGTTGTGTTAGGCTATTTTGATTACCCCATTACAGTCACTTTACAGTCAGTGCTATCATAAAAAATAGACTTGTAGGTTTAAAATTCTACATGTCACATTTATTGTCTAACTACAAATATTTCAGCGAAATGTATAATTTAGTCAGAATTATTGCGCTCCTTTTTAAGTGAGCCCTGTCTGTTTGGCGCATATGCGCACGGCGGCGCTCGTTCACTGTTGTTTGTGAAATATAAGTTATGCATTCAGGAAGACAGCACATCTCAAACACATTAAACAGCACGAGTAGCCTCGGTCTCTGTCAGCGGCACATGCAGCCTTTCTGTCAAAGCATATGACGGGCCGAGCCGCTTAAACTACACTATGTCTTATCAGTTTACTCCTGGCAAACAGTGAATTGAAACACACTATTTGCACTACAAAACACCGTAAGCACAAAGCCTTTCAAACTCGCTCATCTGTGAGAGATTATGTCCTAACCTTCAGAAACGGAGACTCCTCAAGCATGTCCAAGAACTCCGGGAAGTAATCGCCCACCTCCTCATCTACTGCACCGACCAGACTGATTTGCCTCATGGGACCAGCTCTATATGTCCCTGAGCAGTACGTTCGGCTCACCTGCAACATAAAAGCCCTTCAGAGCCGGGAAACATCCTAACACACACTTTCTAAAGTTTCATGATACAAACAAAAAGTTTAAAGGCCAATTCATGCAGAGATAGATAACTACATTAGCATTAATGGAACAATAATGTTTTGTTTATTATAAGCACCAGCTCCGGTTATGTCGTCTGCACCCTTAAATGCTCAAGCGCTTTCAAGTCAGGTGGATTCTGATTGGCTGTCAATGTTTTTATAATTCATCAACTGGAAAAAATCACTGTGAAAATGACTCCAATGATATTTTCTCAGAATGAATTTCATAGAATTTGAACAATAATTAAAACATTATAGTTATTGTTCTTTGTGTAAACGGAGCTTGAGGCAAGATCTACAATAATGTGGTGTTCAGACTGCCATAAATGTGAAAAAAATGAAAATAACTTCCCTGAACTGTGATTCTCCTGCTTCTTACAAGAATGAATTCAATAATATCAGTTTGTTTAGTCTCCAAGACGGTAGAAAATTTGGTCTGCATCACATAAGACTGGTAGTGTACCTTGAACCGTCACCTTCTAGCCACCTGACTTGTGTAAATAATAAATGCAGCTGCTTTTAAAAGTACTCTAGAAGTGAGAAAAGCTAAATAAACACATTTCAGATATTTCGATATACATTACCAGTGTTTCCCATGCATTGATTTATTTGTGGCATTTGACTTCATTGAATAAACATGAGCACTATACGTTTCAAAATCATAACACGGAACGTGTTTTATATGAATGGATCTCTGAAGGAAACCGACCGTCTTCAGAAAAGTTTCTATGGCATTTTCATTTTATGTGATAAAATTTGCGTTCATGAGCGGAGCTGCTTTGATTACAGCCATTACTGGAGAAACCGCGGTTTCTGCCGCTCTCAAAGCACCTCCTGCTGGCAGACAATCAGTTTGCATTTTCAATAATAAGCTCATCTCCAGCTATTTTTTTGTTTTCTGCAGCAACTCAGAGCACTTTTCATACACTTTATCCTGGCTGAAGCACATTTGTTTTAATCTATAAGAATAATCAGCCTACACTACCAGTCAAAGGTTTTCTCAAGATTTTTAAAAAAAATTTTAAGAAGTCTCTTCTGCTCACCAAGCCTGTATTTATTTGATCCAAAGTACAGCAAAAACAGAAACATTTTGAAATATTTTTACTATTTAAAATAACTGCTTTCTATTTGAACATATTTTAAAATATAATTTACTGCTGTAATCAAAGCTGAATTTTCAGCATCATTACTCCAGTCTTCAGTGTCACATGATCCTTCAGAAATCATCCTAATATGCTGATTATCAATATTTAAAACAGATGAGTACATTTTTTTTTTCAAGATTCTTCGATGAATAGAAAGATATAAAGGTCAGCATTTATCTGAAATAAAAAGCTTTTGTAACATCATACACTATACCATCCATAAGCTTGGAGTAAGTAAAGTTCTATTCATCAAAGAAACCTGAAAAAATTCTATTCTGCTTTCAACATAATAATAAATGTTTTTTGAGCAGCAAATCAGAATATTAGAATGATTTCTGAAGGATCATGTGACTGGAGTAATGATGTAAAAATTTAGCTTTGAAACCACAGGAATAAATTACATTTTAAAATATTTCCAAACAGAAAACAGTTATTTTAAATAGTAAAAATATTTCAAAATGTTACAGTTTTTGCTGTATTTTGGATCAAATAAATGCAGGCTTGGTGAGCAGAAGAGAATTCTTAAAAAAAAAACATTAAAAATCTTACTGTTCAAAAACTTTTGACTAGTATGTTAGCCTATAGTTTGAAGTTAAAGATATTAATAATTAATAAGGTGAGTCTGAGATGTTTATTTGACAGTGATTTCACATTTCTTGTTTGTATGAAGTCTAAATACAAATAAAAGTTGAACAAATAAATTAGTGCTGTTTTTTGTTTCTAATAAATTAGCCTAAATAGGTTTTATAGGAAGTGGTTTATAGACTTGGCAAATTCATTTTCCATAAGTTTGTAGATACAGACATCTGTTGTGGGTGTTCTTGGCAGTTTTTATGAGGCTTTTTAAAATAGTGTTCATATCGATATCGGAATTATATCGTATCGACCAAAATTAAGAAATATACCGTGATATAAATTTAGGTCATATCGTCCAGCCCTACTTGAAGTTGTAACCCAAAATGTTACGAATGCAAAATGTCATCCTACCTGGGAGTGGAAGTTGGCAATCGTGGTGGTCTCAATGTCCTTTTTACCAAGGATTTCCATCTTGACAGGTGTGTTTGGGAAATTGAAGGCAAAGTAGTCCAAGAAATCAGGCAGGTAGGCAGCCGCTCCGTGCACCACTGCGAGTGCGTAGCGTGCGGCTCCTTTAGGGTGTTCAGCAAAGGCGAGATCCAGAAACTCCTGGGCGAATCTTTCAGTGTCCCCCGGTCGCAGTAAAGACAGTTCATCTGCGTATGCGTGTAGTACAGATGCCCCTCCATTGGGCTGCTTTTCCTCATGGATCAGTCTGCTGAAGGAGCCGTTGGTCTGAAGCCACGAGCTGCGGATGTAGTGGTCTTGGTGTGAGAGGAACGGCTTCTTCTCAGCTTTGGGAGTGTAGTACTCACCTAAGCCTGGACACGGCTTCTCATCTTTGATGTACACATGTAACACAGGGTCTTCAGAAGATGGCAGAGCATCTCCTGTCAATCCTGTATACATTGTCTGGACCTCTTTGTTGTGTATGTGCAACTTCTTGCCACGCTCATCTTCACGATGCCGCCGCTTCTTTTTCTTTTTCTTTAAAAGGTATTCTTCCAGGGTCTGGGTTTTGCCATTCTCACTATGGGGCTCTGAAAAGATCAATAGAGATGGTAGAGCATAGAAAAACTATTAATAGTTCGTAGCTTCTTAGTCTTTACCCATGTACAATTGTAAACATGAAAAACCTCACAAAAATTATTTTGTGGCTCCTTAAAAACTTTGTAGATACTTCTTGGTAATCAATTACCAAATGCTTACCAAATATCCAGCAATTCTGGACATTTGGTGGTCCATAAATAAGTTATCTCTGTAAGACGCTCCTACTTCATATCTAATACTACTACATTTATATCAATTTACCATGGTAACCACTGACCACAATTTTGGGCACAATACCATAAGTACTACACAGTTGCTGTTATTAACTAACTCATATTAATTCCTTTTTCTTTTCTTAAAAGTGTCAGTTCCATGGTACAAAGATGGGAGCAAATGGTATGGCAATACTATAGTACTGTCTTTCAAATCTTTACACAGTTGAGTTAAGGTTGCTCTGTGCCTGCTCAAAATTCTGTGACATAATGATGCATATAAAAGTCAGACTAAATTAAGCTTGCTCTGCCCCACATTAGCCCTTGTGTCAGTTGTAGTGTAAAATTTGGCATAATTAGGCCTGTCGCAATAATCAATATATTGACTTATCGCACAATATATGTACATGACCTCAATAATTTTTGGTGACGCAATATATCGGCCAATAATATATCGGCCATTATATTGGCCGATATATTGTGTCACCATGTGACATTAATGTCATTTTTGCATTCCACTTGCGCCTGTGTCTTTTGCAGCTTCTCGTACATAACGTGATGTAGTCATGAGGTGCTAGTTCAAATTTAACAAGTGCTTCTACAAAAAAAAAGTTTCATCTGCAGATATGGCCTTGTTTAGGGATCTGTGCCTTTATGCATACGGACATCTGACTGCTAAGTAGTGATTGTGTTTTTCAGCAATAGTGTGCACCCTTCATTTACAGAGAAAAGAAGGTCAGGGAAAAATATCCATAAAAGTTATTTGTGAATTTTTCTTTTTTCTACTTGTTACTTTGCACTTTTTGTTAGAAAATGTTTATTTACTATTTCTTCAAGTTTTTAAGGCATCTAATATTTCGACTTAATTTCCATGATCTAAATATTCTTTAAAATTAAACGTTTGTTGTCATTTGGAAGTGTGTAGGCCTTCTTGTATTATTATGCTGTTATTTTATGATTATATATTCAGTGGCATAACATGGTCTTAAAATGACAATAATATGGTTCATCGCATTTATTTCTGGGGCAATATATCGCACAACAAAAAGTTGTTATCGTGACAGGCCTAGGCATAATAATACAGCACAGAATGATCACCATATATAAGGTACTGGAAATCACTTCAAAGAACATCATAGTATTGTGTCTAAAAACATGGTATTATTATGGTATCGTGTTAATAAAAAGCTACAGCAATACCACGTTACTTATGTTTGTGAAATTACAGATTAATGTAGTAACAGCGAGTTTAGTAAACATTACACATGACAGATGTAAGGAGAACGTCTCTAATACTAAACAAAGAAAAAGTATATATTTGTATTTCATTTAAAATGTACTTTCGCAGCTGTGAAAAGTTTCTTCCTCAATAATCTTGAGCAGTTCTGCTCATCTGCAAGAACATTGCGCTCGAGTGAATGGGGGCGTTCACACAAGCGTGCTCGCGCATGTGTTAGCAGCGGAGGCTAACGGCACTTTCTCCGCTCACTTTTAAGTTGGAAGCCAGCCAGTAATGTAAAATCGTTTGGCTTACGTGTAAACGCTGTTAAAATTACCTTTCTTTTTTTTGCATTCCCCCACTTTAACATTCGCCTCGGCGTTTTCCTTCTTGGGCTTGAGTTTGGCGTCCTTCTCGATGTGTTTGGGCTTGTTATTGGGGGTCTCGGCCTTCGCTACTTTGAGTGGCGTGAAAGTGAACAGCGGGGAAGGTGGCAGGACTGTCTTCTGCGGGACGTGGGCTGCTGGTGTCACTTTTCGCGGCGGCCAGCCCGGAGGTAATTCTTTCTTGGAGCTGAGGAGGTGATGCTGTTGATGATGGCGGTGTTGCACAGGTGCCTGCTCTTTGCTGAAGTTGCGCGCTTGGCTGTTCTGTTGTTGGTGCGGTGGATGCGCTCGTTGGTGGTGCTGTAACGTTAGCTTTATTTTCTTCGCTTCCTTCTCCGCTCTCTCGCGCTTGTCATCGGACGGCGAACATTCCCGTTTTTTCTTCCGTTTCTTCTCTTTGGTGGCTTTGTCAAAGCTGTCCCTGCTCTTCTCCTCTACTTTGACGCACAGTAGGTCGACCTGTGCAGCCATTTTGCACGTAAATTTAAAAGGCTTTAAGAGGGACTTTTTGCGCATGTCTATTGGGAGCTGTAGTTCTTTGTGTCCCTAGCCAATCGGAGCTCACGCGTTTGTAGTTTTCCCGCTCGGAGCGCGCATGCGCACAATCGGTAGCGTTGTGGGTAGTGATGTTTCTGTACTGCTATGGTTCAAGGTATGCGTGCGCTGCTGCACGCACCTCGGCCAGTGACTGACGTAATGCTGAAGCAGCTTCAGGGGTTGGGCGGTTCCGTTTCGTTGAGAGGAGATAAATGCGCTCGGAGTTGAGCTCACAACCAACAAAAGAGCAACACACAACATCCTGGAGATAATAGTCGCACGGTGTTGGATTTCTTTAGGGGGCGTTGACACGGGAGGCTTTCTTGCTATTTGGGCTATTTTTGGTTGGTCTATGTATACAACATAGGCCTATGCCAGACGGACGTCTTCAGATATTGCGTCGCATCTGCCTGTTATTGGCGGCACGAGCGTTGCATTTTTTTTTTTTAAATCGGTGTGTCAAATTAAAAATAGTAATAGGCTTGCTCGAGATGCATCGACGCTGCGCAGACCGATCGGCGTATGACATCAAAGTACCGCGAGAGCGATTCAAAAGCTTGGAGTCGTCTGCTCTCCAATCACTCTCGCGGTACCTCGGTCATACGCCGATCGGTCTGCGATTGATTGTATGACTCGTTTTTAAATGTCAAAACGTTCAAGTTTAAAGTTAGTTTTAGTATTTTATTGTCAACTGCTCACTGACTCTTGTAACAAGAACTAAAATGTGTTGCTTGATTGTATGACATGTTTTTAAATGTCAAAACTTTCAAGTTTAAAGTTAGTTTTAGTATTTTATTGTAAGTGGAAATTATATTTAGGTTCTAAATGACTGTTTTATAAGTTCAATTATCGCAGCAACAGGGTGGGACAATACAGTTAGCACACAAACATCACGTAGACGTCTATTAGACATCTGCAAGATGTATTTTTCAGTGTTTTCTCATCTGCAATACACCTATAGCTTCCTATCAGATGTCAAATAGACGTTTAAAAAATATCTTTATGATGTTTGGAATTTAGAATGTATGTAAAACTGACATTTTAAGGACATCCGTCAGATGTTTGTACACAGCAGATGCTTTCCAGATGAAGTGATCTTTAACAGACATCTTGCAGACATACGTGTGCTATCTGGGACGTTAGAAAATAAGTTTATATCAATAAAATGTAAATAAAACGTGTCTACATATGGCTCTATTGTTTTACAGCTTATTAAATATATTATGATGGGACCACGTGATGACTTAATTACAAAGGAATCTCTGAACTGATTTTCAAACAGGGTTTTTAATATGAACCTATCAAAAGAACCTGTTCAGAAACTTAAAAGATCAAAAGAGGCATCTTTTCAGTAAATCTTTATTCATCAGTGCATGAACAGAAGGTCATGACCAGATTCATTTCTTTAACCACTCTCTCTATATATATATGCTTATACTCTCAATTACTTAAAAAAATAATGGAGCGATTTATAGATTTTTTTTGTTTCGTTTTTCCCCCACAAAGGCAAATTTTATACAGGTGCTGTACATTGTATTTTTTATAAACATTTACAACTACCACAATGTAGAGACCACAAGGCTTTTTTGTGTAAGATAAAGTAATGCAAGGCCACAGTATCATACATACAACCTCGTGACATGAGATGCACTAGAGAAACAAGCTACAAAAGTGTTGAGATTAAAGGGGTCATGAACTGAGCAATCAAAATTCCCTTGATCTTTTGACGTACTATAAAAACATCATGTAAGTTTCAGAACTCAAAACTTCCTCATTATTCTAAAAACAGTTTATATTGAAGCCAATGAATCTGCCAAAAACGGCCACCCCTGAAATGACACTGGCCACCCCATTGGCCCCCCCCCAACCAGAAAGATTGGAGTTTTTTTAGAATAATAATTTTATTTTATAAATTAACACGGACATTGACGAAACACTATATTAAAAATAAAATTAATAAACTTGTATGATGTGTACTGTAGAATACTCTCTCAACAGTGTAACAATTGTTTTGATGAAGTGATGGGTTAAACATCTATGCTTTCTTTATACTTTTACTCTCATTTGAAATGAATTTGCACTCCAAATAAACATGAGGGTACTTGTAGTTGAATTGCAGAGAGACTTTTTTCTATTTTGCTCTATACAGAGAATAGTAATTGCCAAAAATTAATGTCTGCCATTATATTTAGGCATGCAACATTTTTACTGGCCCCTTTCGGCCACACTATAAAAATAATCCTGGAGGTGCCACTGCACACAAGTGTGAGTAACGTTTTATTACGTGTCTCACTATTGCTTTGTTATTACAGATCGTTTGATATGTACTGAGTATTTATACGTTTTTAATCTAAATCACAGCAGCGTCCATCTATGAAGGATGTAGGCTGTCAAACATACACAACTGTTAGCCAATCATAGCAGTCCGCGTTTACTTCCGAGTCTACAATCCGCCACATCTATTCAAACAGAGCGTTCCGATGAGGGGCTCAAAACAGGACAGAAAATAGCCTATTACTGCTAAATTATGATGTTTTCTGATGTAAAAATCTTGATAACATTATAGGTGGACCTCAGAGATCAGTACAAAGTAATAAAAAAGGCAGTTCATGACCCCTTTAATGATCAAGAAGCAATCATAAACCTTGTTAGAAAGTATTCACATTTTTCATCATGATTAAATTATAGAAGCACTGTAGCATATGCAATGTTTGACTGATGTCTGTTCTGCCCATATGGACACTTAATATTTATGGTATTTCAAAAATACTGTTATGGAAAAAAGATATTGGACATTGTTATATCTTGTGTCTGAATCTGTGCCAGTTGTTTGAGGCGTTAAAGAACCTGATGAATAACATCCAAATTGTTCGGCACATAATTCAGAGCTACATTTCCCTTGGATATAAGACAGCATCTTGACATTTAATAGGATGATCTGAAAGATGCATAAAGACACTTTAAATGAATATGAAGTCCCAATATTGGGTAAACAATGCAGTATGAATCATTCGATGTGCTAAATAGAATAAGAAAAAATATAATGTTAGATTGGATAGTATGCAAAAATATATCAGAATTTCTCCTAGTTCTGCTTCACCTTCTAATGATATGAGCGAACATTTGATCCCAAATCTACACACCTTGCAAATGCTCCACCGAGATTAACTGTAAAAGCTATAGCACTGTGAAAAAATATGTGTTTGTTAGGAAGCCGAAAGTCGTATCGGCAAGCTGGAACACTAATAAGTGACCTGGCTCAGAATGGATACAAATATCTATACCGCTATACATTTATATGTTTATATAATCATATTCATTTCAATAAATTACATATGCATCGTCTTCAACACACAAGTAGTAAACAATATACTTAACCTTAAACTCAAGTTTCTGGGCTTTTAAAGATGGATATGTCGAAAATTCACTGCAAAACAAAGCTGAATAATGCACAGCCTAAACAAAGTCACTTCTCAGGACTGGATCTTGAGGACAGTTGCATCACTGAAAAGTCGTTAAGGACATGCGGAGAATCAAAGATGGAAAATTAAAGGGATAGTTTACTCAAATGAAAAAGGTTGTCATCATTCACTCATCCTCATGTCATTTCAGCACCGTATGTCTGTCTGTCTTCTGTGGAAGATCAAAGATTTATTGGTCCATACAATAGAAGTCAATGGTCACCAAATTGGTTTAGTTACCAACATCCTTCAAATATCTTCTTTTGAGTCATACAGGATTTGTAACATCAAGAAGGCTGATAAATGCTGACAGAATTTTCATTTTTGGGTGAACTATCCTTTTAATACATATTAATAGACATTTTTAAACCTTCACAGAAAAGCATCCTTCATGTTATCGTCACAGGAGCAAAGAGACATGGATGAGTTTGTAGCTGCAGTCTGACTGGCACAAAACAAAACTGAGGCTCGTATTGTTGGTGAACTCAAGCAAACGCTGCATGCTATCAGTGTAGATGGTGATAGTCATACCAAAAAATCCACAGTGATTCACATCAATAACTGCTCCCAAACACATTAGACTCCATGCACCGGAGGCTGAATCCTTGCGGAGCTGGGCACCTTCCAGGGGCCTGGGGTTATAGGGGCTCTCTTGTTGGTAGGGTTTCCATTCTGGGGAGTCTCTTGAGGGACACCCTCGATATCCTCTTCCCCTCGAGGCCTGTCTTGTCCTCTGTGGTCCTTCCGGTTGAGGGTACCGCTTTCAGACCACTGAGGTTCTGCTGTCTTGTCCCTCGGGGATCTGTCACTGCCACCTCTTGAGACCTCAGGTCTGATTTCTCCTGTTTCCCTGTCCTGCTTGTGCATAGTGCCCTCGTCTTTGTATCTCCTTCCAGAGTTAGGCTTCAATCCGTCAGTGGCTTTTTGAGGCACCTCTTGTCTGATCCCAGCGTTTTCCTTCTTGGTCTTCCTGGGGCTTGGGGATCGAGTTTCTCGTCCACTAGGATCGCTCTTGTTGTCCATGTTTAGAGTCTTTTTTGGACTCTGTAAGCGTTCTTTCCCATCCTGTCTCTGGGGGAGTGTAAAATTGTCATTGTTGTCACGAGGCATGCTTGGGTCGCTCTTTCTAGTTTGCTTTTTGCCGTCTCTGCAATGTCTGTGTGAAGCAGCCACCGGGTCGAAGAAGAGCTCCTCGGGTGGAGAGGGGTTGACCTCAGGGGAGTGAGAGATGAAGGATGAAGATGCTGGTGTCGACGGCTCATTGGATGCAGAATACCTTGGAGAGTTTGCAGATGGCCCGGTCATCATATCTTTAACATCTGAAACGCAAAACATGATAATTATTAGTGTAAGAAGATAGGGAAGGACAATAAAACCAATTATTTTGAAGGTGCACTCAGTCTGTTTTGTAACATGTAAAAGAGCAAATCAGTCTTTTTGGTAAGAAAGATATTTTTTGAATAAAATTATTTTATTTAGCAAGGATGTACTACATTGATAGAAAGTGACAGTAAAGGTATTTATAATGTCATTTTTTATTTTAAATAAATCTGTTCTTATAAAACTTTTTATTTCATCAAATAATCTTGAAATTTTTTACAAAAGCAGAAAGATTTTATTGACCCCAAATTTTTGAATGGCGGCGTTTGTTTGTTTGTTTATTTGTTTAGTCGAATTCTTTTCTCTGTATTAATAACCTGTCAAACATTTTTAAATCAAGCTCATATTCCGTTTCTTATATTTTGTTTAACCCCTTGGTGTTGTTCAGTCAATTTTAGCTCAGAAAAATGTTTTGAAATGTTAAAAATCGCTATTTCATCAGAATGGTACGAAACTCTATGAAACTGTTATGGCAGTCGCTATGTGACCACAAAAAAAAGTGAACTCTATTTGAAAAAGCTAAATGGTCATAAAAAAAATAGTC